GACAGACTTCTAAATATTTGTCCTTTTACACACAAGTAATTGTAGCCTTCACTTCTCATCAAGGAAACTTCTGTTTGCAACAGGTGAAGACAATTACAGAAAAACACAACCAACCAATAGAAAAGCAGAACTGTGGAGTGCAGTTCCAACCGACACTCCCACAGAACAACGTGGGCACCTGAAGCTCAGGCAGCACAGCAGAAAGGGGTCAGAGAGATTTTAAGAGCCAGAAAATGTGTGAATTTGCTGTGAGACTGTGTCTTCTAGGAAGCCGTGCCCGTAACGTCTCAGCAACATGACTGCTGCCTAAACATGAGCTGCATAAGGATGACAGTAGCTAATGTGGATAGGGAAGTACATGTGGCATCAACCCTACATAAAGAATTACAGCCAGCTAAGAGATGAAATATCCATTCCTATCTGGGCAGAAATTACATCCCACAATTGGAGTGAGTCTTGTCATATACATCAGGACAATTCTTCAATTGAGTCAGGTGATTCTTCAGGTGGTTCTCATTTTTGGCAAGATGACATTAAATGCAAGCATAATTGGTTGGTTCCTGAACCTCCAGTGTTCCCAATCCATTTGTGTGCTCTCTAGGCCTGCTCATAACCCGTTTATAGCCTCTCATAAACTTTATGTCATTTCAACATCCATTACAATGTTCAATAGAATATGAGTATCTGTACTTTATTGTACATAGAGTAAGGAAAAGTATCTGTTAACTGAAGGCAAAATTTTGATCTGTGATTGGGTGAATCTATAGATGTGGAACCCACTGATGTTGAAGCTGACCACATTCTTTACTCAAAATGTGCACTCATCTTAGCTGGGCAGGGGTGGCATATGCCTTTAATCTCAGCACTTGGGAGGCAGAAGCAGACAGATCTCATAAGTTTCAGGCCAACCCCATCTACAAAGCAATTTCCAGGACAGCCATGTCTGTTACACAGAGAAACCCTATTTCAAACCCCCTCACAAATGTGCACTCATCTCTCAAGTACACACCATGCGTTTTCTAAAATTCAGAAGAAATGTAATTAAAAATGTGTGCATAAGTGTATGTATGTACATGTGCATGTGGGTGTGTAGGGATATGTTGTATGTGTGTGTGCATGGGTATTTGTACATATGGAGGTCAAAGGCTGACACTGGTTGATCTTTCTCAATCTCTCTATTATTTGAGACAGGGTCTGTTGCTGAATTTGGAGCCCACAGATTTGGTGTGGTTGGGTAGCGAAATTGCTCCAAAAAAACCCCCATAAAACCACATTGTCCTCTTAATTTCCCCAGTTCTGGGAATGCAGGAATACTCTGCCTGCCTCTTTACCTAAGTGTTGAGGACTGGACTTGATCCTTGTGCTTGGGGAGTAAGCACTTTATTAATAAAATCATCCCCTGTGTCTGAAAGAACAATCTTTTACATAGTACTTCTCTTTTGAGCATCCAGACCATCACACTTCAGAGGTAGAGTTTGAGAGCATATGATGTGGATTAAATTCCTTCAGAAGCAGAAAGCCAAAATGCTTTTAACCAGAGGCACAGAATAAAAATTCAAATGGAAAGAAATGAGTAGGTACAATGCAACTAGAAGTATTCATATTTGGGTGCTTATGAATTCTGGGGTGTAAAAATTGGTTAAAGGAGTAAATACTCTGTTTTCATTTTTTCTTTCTGTCTAAAACTAAGCAGAAATGCTGACTTTTTTCCTGGAAGCAGGAGTGTGAAATGAAGTACCAATATCTTCCAGCTTTGAGAAAGAAACCATTAATTAGAGGAGCAGTTTCACTCCAGAACAGCAGCATAGGACCAGGTGAAGGTTTTGTGCCCATTAGGAGTTGCTTGATTCAATTAAAATTCATCTCATATTTTTCCTTTGGGACAATAGAAAAGAGAAGATCATTTGTCATATATGAAAAATTAAATTTGATACAAAATGATCACATAGTCATATAAAAGATTGTCTTTTGCATTCATGAGGAAGAAATATTTTCTTACTGTGATGGGAACAGTAATTCCATGCACCTTACTGCAGGTGCCCACAGCTTTTCAACAACAGAAAACCATGCCTTCATAGCGTGGTGGTAAGATTGTATCCTATTTTCAGATGTGCTATTTGAAGTCTTTTTGTTGAGGGGAACAGAAAGTAAGTACAGAAGAACCCCTTATGCTAGCAACTTTTGGAAAAATAAAATCTCTTGAATAATTATGTTAAAATGAATCCATTTATACTAAAAGATGGGAAATCAGGTAATGGTCTATTTGTAATATGTTTTCATTTGCTTAGGGAATATGAAGATGGAAGCATCTCCCTTCTCAAAACAGACACTAATAATCACTATGGTTATTAAAAAAGGTTTCAAGGCTGCTGTGTCCTTGCCCTTGACAACTTACAAAGGAACACTTTTTATGATGCAATTCTCCTAGGAATCTGGGATACAATCAGTAATTGATTTTGTCGAGAGATTTAATTGTTTGATAAAAGCATTATTTCATCCTTTAGAATAGTAACCTTGGAGGAAGAGGTCCTGACCTGTCTCTTTTTAATAGTCCTGAAAAGATATGTAGCTAGATTGAATAGCACTGGTAAGTTGACTTTTGAATTAATTGATTGGTCAATTCAGCCAAACAGTCAATTTATCTTTTTATCTCTTTTCCCATTTTTTTGAATTTCCCCCCGTTTATTTCTTTTGGTTTTTCCATGTTTCAGAAGGTAGAACCAGACCTCTAGGAGTCCAGAACCAGAGTTCATATTCCTCTAGGTAGAAGAAGCAAATTGCTGAAAGTCATACAAATTCATGACCAAAGCTTTTCCAACAAAAGGTATAATTCTAAAAATATAAAAACTTTGGTTTCATATATTTGTCTTAGTTTTTCTTATAATATATGACTCCCAAAACTTCCCCATTTCTCTACCACCCAGTTTTCTTTCACTCTCACCCCTCTCTCTCTGTGTCTGTCTCTGTCTCTGTCTCTCTCAACACCCAGACAAAAATGAAAATCAAAACAAATAAGCAGAGATCAATAAGACAAAATATGCCAAAACAAAACAAAAAGTTCACAGAAAACCATGGAGTTTGCTGTGTGTTGGCTAAGCACTGGGCATGGAGTTTGCTCTGTGTTGGCTAAGCACTGGGCATGGAGTCTGCCCTGAAGTGCGATTGATAGACATAGTGACAGTACCCTGGAGAAAAATGATTTTACCTGTTCTAGTGGGTGTCAAAGTTCCATTTTGTATGTGTATATATTTTATCTAGCTTATGCAGTAGTAGTTTTACACTTTTGAAGGCCTTTAATGTTTGTTAACCCTCCATATCTTTTTTCCTTTACTCCTTTCTTCCATTTTATATCTATATAATATTCCTATTCTGGTTTCCCCTTTATCTCTCCATAACAAGATATTATATTTTCATTTCCCTGGGAGATCCCCTCCTCCCTACCTGGTTTCTTACTAGATGTCCAATTCTATGGTTATTTGGATTATAGCACACATATTGAAAGCTTAAAAGCTAACATCTATATATAAGAGAGAACATATACTATTTGTGTTTTGGGGTCTGGTTCATCTTATTTGGGAATTTTTTTCCTAGCTCCATCTATTCACCTTCAAATACCATAATTTCATTTTTTCTCAACAGCTGAGTAACATTCCATTGCAGATATGTATCACATTGTCATTGCTCATTCATCGGCTGATGGAGAATTAGGCTATTTAAAAATATCTTTAAGTTAGCATAACCCCAGGTGAACTTTTTTTAACCCTTGAGTGTCCTAATCTATGCTGCCTGAAATCTTCTGCCATCCACAGTTCCCTTAGTGTACCTGACTTCCAATCACTTTGTTCCTCTGTTCACCTGTTCAGAAGCACTTGATTCCTCACTGTTGCTTCGTCCAAGAGATTCTAAGACCTTTGAAGTCTGGTGGGGATGCATTTATTTTACACTAAGAATGTAATCCATAACTTTTCATAGCAAAATTTTAGAGAATTGTTTCTCTGAAATTGTCCTATTTAGGCCTTTGCTGACCTGGTTCAGTGGGCTTAAGGAGCAGTCTTCGGTATGGATGTTGGTCATTAACCCAGTCTGCACTCCTACTTTATGTTTTTGTGGAATTTGGTAGATTTTGAGTTGTGGCCACATTTGAGACTGTGAAACTGAGCGTGTCAGTCATGCAAAATTTGGTGACAATACAAGGTTTCTGAATGTACAACAACCAAAATCAATTCAAAATGAAGTGTGTACTAAATGTAATGTGCCTGTCAGTACTCACCTGGGTAGTATTGCGGCAATTGCTACAACCTTGTTCTGAACACACAACAGGAGCACTTGGAACTGAGCATGCTGCCAAGCCATGCTACCCCAATGAAAGCTCAGATTTGAGGCTATAATGTGTTCTGAATTGCAGTGATATATTTTCATATATATGTATCATAAAGTTGTTTTCTATGAGTATGAAAACACAATGGTTTAATGATGGCAAACAAAGACAGTATTTTTTTAAACCATCATTTCTCAGGATGTTTGAATTAAAAAAGTCCTTAACATATTATGTAGGGTAACTTGGTACCCCATAAGGGTTAAGTATGGTGGAAATGACATTTCAGGAACAAATTCTCTGGCTATGGATGCCATCACCTTCGTGCAGTAGAAAATTGAGCCTCTGGGCATTTGCTCATTTGGCTTGTGTGAAAAGGCTAACTGAATTATGCTGGCTTGATCGAATTTTTGTGTGACTTTTGAGGAAGATATTTTCCAATTATTTGTAACTTCTATTCTGCCAGTCACAGAAAATTTCAGGCTTGCATTAAGAGATTTGTGTATCTGAGTTTGGGTAAACTGGACTTTGCATGCTTCACTAGAGAATACTTTAATTTTTTTTTCATTTGGTGTCTACTTTTTTCATTCATATATCATGGAAGCCAAAATCTTAGAAGAAATCCAATACCATGGTGAGGAGGCACTAAAAGAGCTACCACACGACTGATTCTGTTTGTCCTTAGGGTGGTTGTGATGGTGCTAATTGTCAGCTTGACAGAATGGAGAAGCAGCTGGGACAAGCGTCTCTGGACAAGCTTGTGAAGGATTTCCTTGATCGCACTAACTGATGAAAGAGGACCTGCCTACAATGCGCCTACTGTTCCCAGACTAGGATCCTGGACAGTGTAGAGTGAGCCAAGGCCGCCGAGCTGCAATCAGCATGCAGGCACTCTCTGACCATGGGTTCAATGTGACCAAATGCTTAAAGTTCACTTGGCTCCATCCTCTTGCCTCCATGAGGAAACATGTCTTGAGTTGTTAACTAAATAAATTCCTTGTCCCATGAGTTGCTTTTGTTGGGGCATTTTATCACTGAAACTAATAAAGAATTTGTAAAATAGGAGTCATGAGAATTAAAGTTACAAGGTCAGAAACAGTTTTTTTTGAAGGCTGACATTCTGAGTTAATTAGACTCAAAGTTTCATTTTAGACTTTTTGACTTCCTTCACACAAGTGACACTTTGTTGGCTGTGAGAATGTTGGCCTTCTTTTGATAACACTTGACTTTCCTCTCAGTTGTGGCGTGTACTGAGGGCCTTTTCAGTGGCTTACACACCAAAAGAAGACCTCATGACATGTACTTTATGTTATTTTCAAAGAGGAAGCTCTTGTCTATCTAAAAGTATTTAAGAAATGAGATGCCATGGTTATATGAATTATTATTCTAATGAAAAGTTGGTGAATTTTACTAATGGTACATTTTTACTTTTTCTGCTGTTGACAGAAAAGAAATCTATATTCATAATGAACATAAGCCCTAGGATTCATATTTGCATAAAACATGGCGCAGAACCAGAATTCAGTTGAAGACTGTCAATAAAAACAAACATAGCTGTGGCACATTTCACTAGTCATGTTATTACACACACAAAGACATGTGTATCAGAGAGTTCCAGTTCTTTCCCAGGCCTGGCCGCAGCAGCTTGTCACCATTCTCTCACTTTCCTCCCACATCTTTTCCCACCACAGTCTGGCCCATGTCCTTGCATTCTGTCAAAACTGCTTATTTTTCTCCCAGTGGCTACTTCTTGCTCATTCCATGGCGTATTAGACTTCGGTGTCAATATGTTTCCCATGTAGCTTTTGTGTATATCCTTTCTTTCCTGGCTTCAAAATAGTGCACTCTTTGCATAATCTTTATTTTTGCCTCCCGACACTTTGGTCATTGGTCTTTGTTCTCCTCAGGTGATTATTTCTCCACTCAGTGCTGTTAGTGTTGTAACTTCAATTTCTTTCTTTGACCTTTTCTGTCTTATACACATCATCCCTAAATGTTCTTCTTCTTATGTGTTTGGTGGTTTTATAACAAAAACCTGGAGGCTGGATAAATGATAGATAGGCTTATTAGATAAAATAGGCTTATTTTAGTTGACAATCCAGAAAATACAAAAGCAGGCATTAGCATTGGTTTGATATTTGGTGAGAACTTTCATGCTGAGTTCTGACATGGAGAGAACACATATCTAATATGAGACAGAGAAACTAAGCCAATGAATTTGATTTTATGTCATAACCACTCCTATGATGGCTCATTAATCCATGATTAATTTATTCATGAATCAGAATCCTCATGTTTACCAATACTTAATATTTCAACTTCTTCACATAACTAGTGCCTCATATTATACCTTTAATGAGAAGAATTAACTTTGGTAGACACATTCATAGCATAACATACCTTCACGGAATACCATGGTACTATTTTCATTCATATGCTGTATTGATATATGATTATCAACTTGACTGACTTGAGACGTTCCTAGAAGTTAGATACATACATGCCTCTATGTGTACCTGAGAGGATTTTTTCAGAGATGATTGGAATGCTGCATAGCACCAGTTGGGAGAAGACTCACTTGAAAGCTAATGGAACCATCTAACATGATGAAGGACCAAATAGAATAAAAGAAGGCCCAGTCTTATTTTGTTTCTCTCCAAGACATGAGGTGGATATCTCTGACGTAACACTTTCTTCCATTAATGTGTTCTATGTCTCTGAAAACCCAGAAATAATGTAGCCCTCTGATTATGCATTTATGGCAGTGAGAGAAAGCTGACTGACACAGGGGTCAAATGCTGGTCTGTCTTCTGAACTCAATTCAGAAGTCTTCAATGGACAATTAACAGGGTGCTATGCTATGGCACCAGCCTTTCCTGTATTACAGCTAGTTTGCTCCAGGATGCAAGCTTGATGTAAGCTTGACCAATAAATTTGTGTCTTGAAATTTTGAGGGTTAAGACTCAGAGCCATATAATCACCACCTCCCCACCACCCCCACACCCATCCCCACCCTGAGACAGTGTTTCACTGTAGCTTTGGAATCTGTCTTGGAACTTGCTGTATGCACCAGGCTCCAGGCTAGTCTTGAACTCACAGGGACCCACTTGCCTCTGCCTCTCAAGTGCTGGGTAAAGGCATGAGCCACCTCCTGGTGCCATATAACTTTTTATCTTGAGTTTGGAATTGTGGTGGTTGTTAAGGCTGTGTACATTGGTGCATGCAAAGCTCAAGGTATTTTTGCCTTCAGGTACACTCTAGAAGCAGAGAATGCCAGTTTATAAATCAGAATAATGAGGATTTTATGTAAGCAATCGTACACTACAATATAGTTTAAAAATAAAACCACAAAAGAGAGGAGCAGTGGGATGAGAGGACCTGAGGGATCCTGCGTGTTCCTTTCCCTGAATTCTCTGGTGACTACGGCCCAGATGCTGTCCTGGCTCAGGATGTGCATGATAAGTTGTGCTGTTTGTTGGAGAAAACTTGATTCAAAGCTGTTTTAGGGTTACTATTGCTGTGATAAAACACCATGGCAACAGGAACACAACTTGGGGAGGAAAGAGCTTATTTCACTCCCAGTTCCATGTAACAGTTCATCATCAAAAGCAGTGACGGTGGCAACTTGGAGGCAGAAGGTGAGGCCAAGGCCGTGGAGAAGTGCTGCTTACTGGATTGCTCCTCACGGCTTTCTCAGTCTGCTTTCTTGCAGATGCCAGGATCACCAGCCCAGGGCGGCGGCACGCACCAATGAGTTGGGCCCTCCCCTGTCAATTAAGAAAATGCTTTACTCAGGATGGTTTCTTCTTGTGTCATCCATTTGCCTGCAAATCTCAGGATTCCATTGTTTTTTTCTGCTGAATAGTACTCCATTGTGTAAATGTACCACATTTTCTCTATCCACCCTTCGGTTGAGGGGCATCTAGGTTGCTTCCAAGTTCTGGCTATTACAAATAATGCTGCAATGAACATAGTGGAACAGACATCCTTGTTGTATGAATGGGCATCTTTTGGATATATGCCTAAGAGTGGAGTTTCTGGGTCTTGTGGACATCCTGAGTGAGGTTAACACATTCACAAAAAGAGAAATATGGCATGTACTCTCTCATATATGGATTTTAGACGTAGATCTGGGGAGTGCCAGCCTACAATCCCATGGCCAGAGTCTGGGAAACAGAACCTTCATTCAGTGGCTGATGGAAGCAGATGCAGACTCCCATGGCTAAGCACTGAGCTGAAGTCAAGAAAGCCAGTAACAGAGAGGGAGGACTGATGACCAAAGGGATTAAGACTGGGCTGGTTTAACCCCCAGAAACAGCTGACCTGACAAGGGTTAACTCTTGAATTCCAGGCTGATACCTGGGAATCCAGCATGGGACTGATCAAGACCCCCTGAATGTGGGTGTCAGTGAGGAGGCCTAGGTAATATATTGAGCCTTGGGCAGTAGATCAGTATTTATCCCGAGTATACACATGGACTTTGGACTCCCATCCAACAATGTGAGACGCACTCTCACCCTGAACTCTTGGGGGAGGGTCTAGGCCCTACTCTGGATGAAATGACAGATTATGAACACCCCCAAGGAGGGCCTCACCCTTCCTGGGGAAATGAGGGGATATTGGTGGGGTTGGCGGGAGGGCACGGGAGGAGGGGAGGGAAATGGAGAGGGACCTGGAACTGACTTGTGAAGCAACCTTGTTTCTTATTTAAATTTAAACTTAATAATAATAATAATAATATAATAATAAACTGTAAAAATAAATGAAAAAAGAAAATGCTTTACTACAAGAGCTTTTGGATGCATTTTCTCAATTGAGGTTCCCTCCTTTCAGATAACTCTAGCTTATGTCAAATTGATACAAAACTAGCCAGCACAAAAACTGTAAGTTTCAAAGTAAGCAAGCAATGAAGCACGCAGCCCTAGTTGATTAAAAAAAAGCAAAGCAAAACAAAACAAAAACAAAAATACAAGAAAACTGTCTCCCATGCAGATCCACTTCTACAACCCAGGGTGCTAATTCCATTCCTCTGGCACTTAGTACCTTTATCTCTCAGCCTGATACCCCATCTCTGCTATGTGCACCCTCTCCCAGCTTAGTAAATAGTGGTTTTATTTGTCATTCAGCTATATAATAATTGGCTCCTCACACATCCTCACACATTCTCACCTAATCAGTTAAATCCTGGTATTAATTTGCCAGTTTACTATTATACCCATCCTACTACGTAAGCCCAATGGCTTTCCCTTATTTGATTATTCTGTAACTAGTCTTTCTCTAGTCCTGCCATCATTCAGCGAGTTTGCCTTCCACTGTAATGTTTTAAATAGCCATCACATGAAGACGTGTGCAGGGTTCTTCCTGATGAACTCTACTGATGCCTCTTTAGCATCTCTATGCCACTATCTTTGTATAATGTACATAGAGCATCCAAAAATACACACAGCTACACTATGTGAAATGTCTCCCTTCAATTTCTTGACTGTAACTGCTTGCTTATTAACAATCTATAAGCTCCTTATAGGTGGGGGTGATGGTCTGTGCTTTGTATTTTAAGATGGAGTTTGTCATGTGATACTCATCTAGTAAATAGTTTATGAATGAAAGCATTTCTGATGAGTATAATTCTATACTGATAGAAATATAGACACAAAACTACTGCCTTGAACTTGAACTTGCCAGGCAAGAACAAAGTCCCTTTGAATGAACTTCATTTGGGAATGGTAGCAAGACTAACAGTGGGTTAAGAATTCTTGTGTGTGTGTGTGAATTATTGCTTAGCAGTATTTGTATTTTGAACAGCCATCTCTTTCTGCACTAGTTCACACTCATCTTTTGGAGCAGGCATTGATTCTTTGACATGTAGCTAGCCAAGTAGAATAGATTTTACTGTCTACAGATGGTAGCATTTGTGTGTGTGTGTGTGTGTGTGTGTGTGTGTGTGTGTGTATGTGTTTGTGCTTTCAGTTTTTAGCTCCCTGAATTTTTTAAAATAATTTGTTAACATT